ACAAGCCTCCAAGTTTTATACGCCCAAAATAATCTTATAATTTCTTAAAAAATGTTAAACTTATAATTCGTTGTTTCTTTAGGAGAAGCAAAATTGACACTTTAGAGAACAGTCTATCTAGGTCTCCAGATAGCTTCAATCTCACACTGTTTACAAGTTGATGCTCCAGATTAGCAGTTCTCAACCTTTTGACTAACGCGTACCATCTAAACAAAAATTGAAGAATTTTTGTACCACCACTACATTTGACAATGATTATTTATTTTTCAATTTCTCAAGAAAAATACTAAAATACATATATATATTTTGCCATTTGCACAACCAATTGGCTATTTGTATTAAAATATGCATACATAAAAAAGTATTAGCTTAAAAATTGGTTACCATTTTAATTATCAAAATTTAAGTTATAATACTTTTCCAAAATTTACTGAGAAATTTGGGCCTATTTAAGAGAGGTCCAACTTCCTTATGTCTGGTGTTATTTCACTTAGTTTTAAGCGTAAATTAGGATCCACTCTTAGTTCTGTTCTGTATTTATTTTTCAAATATAACATGGAAGAAATCATTGTTTACAGAAATAGGTTGTGCAAAAAGGCAATAAAACTTTAGTAGCTTTATTTGAAATATCTTTATTTATTTATTTTTTTGTTCATACAAAAATTAACAAGTGTGCTATTTTTGAAATCTTCTGTTAGAGTTCGATCACAGGAAATTTCTATCAACTTTTCTTTTTCTTAACAAGATAAATTTTCAGGTACATTTGAATAAAATTGATTTCTAATCCAATTTTCTTTTTCATAATCATAAAAAAAATACATATTGAAACTATTTATTTATCCATGAAAAAAACTGATTTTTAATGGGGATGCTAATTCTTCTTTTATTTTCAAATTATTTTCGGTTAGAACACTTTCACAAAGTGATGGAAAGCTTAATATTTTTATTATCCAATTCTTTGATCATTAGCTCGAGTTTTTTTTTTTTTTTTTCCTCACTGCATTTATTGTATCTCTAATGGTAAAGAAACCAACACTTTGTCCTTATTATCCTAAATTTAATTCATTTAACATTCCAAAAATTACAGCTAAATAATGCTAAACCTGTGAACCATAATTCACAAAATAAAAATTTTTGCAATTCACATTTTGAATCGCAGAGGAAAATTTGAATTTCTGATTGAAGTTCAAAAAGACTCCCCTGGATAACTACCTCACTTTGGAATGTAACAAAAGCATTTCATGTTCACTGCCCATCTCTTGCCATAAAATCATAAATATTTTTGAATTTAAAACTGACTTTTAATAAAATTTACAATTTTCACAGCTTGATTCAAAATGATTTTCAGGTTTTCAGGAATGTTTTGGCTACAAAGGCTTTACGATGAATGGTTCAGTAAGTAAATTTAGTTTCAGGTGCTACTTTCTTTATTTGAGAAATAACACTGGAATGTTTTTCCTGTTAAAACTAGAGGTCTCTCACTGCATACAGCAATGCCAAGGAATATCATTCTCAGACATAAATTGCATAAATACTCTTCGGTAATTCGCTTATCTTCTTCAAAACGTTGAACAAAGCTCGTTATATCAGTACTTTCATCTGATTGCAATGTGAAATACTCACTTTGTTTTATTTTTTGAATAAGTGTCTCTTTTATGGAATTTGACATTTCATGAATTTGTAGACTTACTGTATCATTTGATAACGGAATATTATTAAGTTCACAGCCACCTTTTCGTTGAATAATGTTAAAACAATACCTTTAGCTGCTGGAAATATACGTTTTTCTCCAATAGTGAGAGCCTGCCTAGTCTTGGCGACTCTTAATCTTACTGTATAAATAGCTTCCAAAGCTTGCTCACTTGAACTAACAAAACCTTTCATTACTTGTTTACTACATTTGAACTCTGATAATTTCCTCTTAAAATATTCTTCAGATTTTTCCTTTAGATTAGCATGCTTAGATTCAAGATCTTTTAAGGTGTTGGTGTATTTATTTATGGCAAAGCACACTAGGGCTATCTGCCTAAGAGGAGGGATGCCTTTCGTGGAGGACTTTCTAAGGGAAACTGGCTCGTATACACGTTACACATGGGGAAAACCACGAAAACACCCATGCAGCCAGCCCGTTCGCGGGATTCGAACCTCGGACCGAACTACCAGTGTTCAGCGACTTTACCGCTCGGCCGCTGGTGGGCCCAAGATCTTTTAAGAAACGATGGTTTAATGCTTTGACTGGATAACAGTTTACTGCAAACAACACATTGAGGTTAAGGGTCCATTTCATTGATAAACCCCAATGATAAATAAAATTCATTATATTTTCTATAAACAATTTTTCTTTTCTTTTCATCCTGGATCCATCACCTGTGAATTGTCCCTTTTCTGCTATCCTAGTCATTTTTCCATTTTGAAATATAGGTTTTTGTATTACTTTTTAAAAATATTTAAATGCACAATATATTATGAATTCTTCAAAAACAAATGATGATATTTGCAAATCGCGTAGAAAAATAAGGAATACAAAGTAACAAGAAGACAAGACAGCAAATTAACGTAAAAAAATTATTCTATTTGAAAGAGCAGCATGAATCTGGAAATAGTGGCGATGAAAGTTTGGAAAAGCTAATAAAGCAATCAACTCTAAGAGAATTAATGAGATACTATTATCTTTTCGCAGGAACTTATTTTTTTTATTTCTTTTTAAATATAACATACATTTCTATTACTCCTTTAAAAAACATCATTTATGACAAATTTTTTAGTCTATGGCTAAAAATATTTGTGAAAATAAAAATGGATTATTTTTCTAAAGTCTACGAGCGACTATTGACCTTGAACAAGCTCAGACTGCATAAATTTAAAAGAGTTAGAGAAAACAATTTAAACAGGATGTTGGGGTATTAAATTTTTACATTTTAATAAGACTTTTTAATTTTATGTTAAAAATACTTTGTTTCTTTGTGTACCATCTACTTTTTCTTATGTACCACCGACTGAGAATCGCTGCTCTAGATTATTATTTTCATGAAATAATAACCAAACTTCAGTAGAAAAGCGATATAATCTTTAAAAATATGAACAACCAGGATCTTCTTTCTGTTGGCTGTTTATACTCTAAATTTAGTAATGAATGAAGAAAGAAAATTGGTAGGAATGTTTTCAATTCTTAGCTTCACCAAAGCTTTGGGGAATTTTTTAAAGGGTATATTCCATTTACATGGCAGAAGCCATTAGATACACTATATGGAAGTAAAATTGAAGCATTTTACCAGGCTAAAAGGAGAGATTTATGGGTCATTATATGAAATTAAAAAGCAAAACTAATGAACAATTAACGCAAATTTAGCATAATGTTCTTTCCAGAATAAGTACTGCCAACAAACAACTACATTATAATCTGTGAATATTAAATTTGCTTTATATTCCACAGAAAGTTTAAATGCATTATTAGAATACAAAATAGATTCAATTTATAAGAGTGTTTATTTTATATGTATTGTGTTTAAAATTGAGAACAAAATATTTATAACAATGATATAGAATGAAGAATCAGTTAATTCTGCAGTTGAAATTCGATGAAGCAAATTACATGACAATTCCAATACAAACTTCATGATTCACCTTAAAATAAACTTAGAATTAACATATTTTACATGTTGTTGGGTAACACATTAACTTCTTTACATAGATACTTTGAATAAATAAAAACAGATAACTTTTGTTTCTTACATATAATCATCTTGAAATTTATAATCTGTAATAAATAAGTCATGAAGATATTGGAAAAAATTATAATGCTTATGATGGTAACAGTACATATTGAAGTCTACAATGAAATCTATGAGTTAGCAATAGCTGTGGGATTAAGGTGATTTTTTTCTAGTTGATATTGCAGGGTTAAAACTTATTATGTCATCTAATTAAAGGTATCTTAATAATCTCGTTTTCGCATTTTGCGTTGATTCACTATAAATGGTGAATCACTATTTAAATTGCTGCCACTAAATATTAGAGCCCCTGCATTACATTTAAAGAAATTATATAATGAAGAATTTGCATAAATGTATATATGCTTCTCGCACTGTGAAACACAACGCTACGTAGAGCCATCAAATTTTGAATAACGTACGTCTCCACCCGAATAGGCATCTGGAATCCCGAATTTGTTTATGTTTATTATTTAATTGTTTGCTTTGTATTCCTTATTTATTGTTCGTCTAATTTCACATTTTGTAAAGCATTTATGATTTCTGATTAAAATACTCAACAATTTCAAAGCCAGCAATGGCAACACTGAAGAGGGGAAAAATTAAATCCCCAGCATGTGAGACTGTGTATCGAAAATTCTAAAGATGTGCTTTTTTAAATATTTTGTGATATTGCTGTTGAACTGAATTTTATGGTTTAAGTGCAAAGAACAAGATCATGAAAAGGTAAAAAACATCCCTTTGGGCATAATAGAAAATCTGAAAGCATGTAGATTTACTTATTTTTTTAAAGGATAAAAATGAAATGGAATATTCTAGTTTGACACAACCAAAAGCTTCCCTTGCAATTTTCTGTAATTCTGGATGGCAATTCTGAGTACAGCAAATTTGCAAAAATGAATAAAATATGATAAACTAGATTCATTCTAAGTATAGCAGATGAACCACCTGAGAAAGCTCCTGAAATTTTATGTTGAAACATGGTTCAGTGCATTGACTTATTACGGAAGTATTTTATCTCAGTTTTAACCTCACTTTAACTTTTTAAAGTTTTTAAACTCGACACTGAAGCTACTGAATAATCATTTTGAAATTTATAAAGCATAATTCACTTAAAATTTTGAATTTAGAAGTCATCAAAAGAGTCAACTTATACATCTAAACATTTACAAATTAGCCTGTAAATTACTAAGCTATGCAAATGAAAATTATATGTGATTTTATTAGATTTAAAATTAAAATAAATTCCAAAAACCAAGTATATATCCTGAAAATTATGCTAATTTTTACCTTTCTTCAATCTTTTTAGTCTCTTTCAAAGGATCCTCAGTATCATATGGTCGATTAGTGAATGAAGTAGGATCACCAGAAACTGAAGGTGGAAGTAATGGTCCAACTCCAGGAGGTGGAGGCTGAGCAGCCATGTGAGATGTTTCTATAGGTGAGGCACCTAAGGCAAAAAATTCAATTAATAAAAAGGAAAACTAATAATTTTCCAATTTTTTACTTATTTTAAGAGTACTTTTAGCTTCTTTTTTCTAGAGGGGAAAAGGCTTGGGCACAGTAAGATAAATACCGTAACATTTACTATAATACACATTAAATATCTTAAAGAGAATACACAACAATTTTTTAGAAAGCCATTTTCTAAGCCATGAGTTTTAAAAGCTGCAGATATATAAGCTTTATCATAACTTATACCTTCAAAAATCAAACTTTTAATTGCTGCCGTTAATATTTATGAAAATACAAGTTACTTAGTACAATATAAGTTTCTGTTTAGTTCCCATGACAAATGTATATGTCATGGGAACTAAACAGAAACAGAAATTGCTTCTGAATATCTGAATTCGTATGATGATAATCTTTATGCTTATCATTGCAAGACTAATTTTCAGGTAGGGAAATAAATTCTACAGATTAAAATTCAGTTTCAAATAACAGCATTTTCTCACTCATTTGCTTATCAGCCAGATATAACTAACATATATAGGGCTATTAAAAAAAGATGGACCCAATTCAATTACTATTTATTTCATGAAGTATAAATAGATATGAACAGTCTAGTATATAATGAAGGAAAGGAAGTCCCAAAGTTTTGTTTACCTCTGATGAGGTGATAGTTGCATAAATGACCGATAGGGTACTCGTGCCAATATGCAGGAATTTCATTTCAGCACCAGTTGTGAGCAAGATGGCTAAAATGCAGCATAAGGATCTCTGCATTCTCGAGTTTACAAGACATGAGTCGGCAGTTACAGTGCAGTGGATTCGACCACTGCACTGTAAACTCTGATTCGACATTAACCCACACACTAGGAAAAGCAACAAATGTTGGGTTACACAATTTCAAGAAATTGGATGTCTCTGCAAAGAAAAAAGCCTGGCCCGTCCATGTGTGTAAGACGATGACGTTAGACGAATAGAAGACAGTTTTGTGTGTAGTCCAAGAAAGTCAACTAACAGAGCTAGAAGAACCATGAATACCCCAACCAAGTCTGTTTTGAGACAGTGTTTGCTGTACAAGCTCTACCACTTACAACTTATTTAAGCTATTAGTGAGAATGATAAGCATACTGAATTTTGTGATGATATGCTAGAAATGATGGAGGATGACATGTTTCAAACCAGATTTAATTTTTAGCAATGAAGCAATGTTCCATCTTAGTGAATCTACACAATGTTTGCATATGGGGTTCGAACAATCCCCTTCCAACACTGCAACATGACACTGAGTCAGCAAAGCTAAGGGTATTCTGTGTGGTATCATGAAAGCATATTACTTTTTGCAGAAAGCACTGCCAATGATATAACATACTTCGTCATGCTGGAACAATGGGTTTTTTCCCTCAGCTTACCAAAGATTCACATGACTTTTATTTAAAACAGGATGGAGCTCTGCTGCATTGGCACCGTGATGTCTGAGGATTTTGAAATCAATCTCTTACTCAGTGATGGATAGATCGCACGGGAAATCAAGACTTGGCTCTACACTTCTGGCCACAGAGATCTCCGGATTTCACGCCATGTGATCTTTTCTTGTTGAGCTATGTTAAGGAGGCTGTATATATCCCACTGCTATCAACAACTATAGCAGACTTGTGAAAATGTAACACAGCTGTGGTGCGTAGATGCATATCAGCGAGTTCACCGGTTTTGTAGCATTCCATTCTACTACCACTCTTTCGGTAGCCGAAACGAAGCTTCACAGTGACCGCAATAGAATAACCCCATGTCCATTCTACTACCACTCTTTCAGTAGCCGAAACGAAGCTTCACAGTGACCGCAATAGCAATAACCCCATGTCCACATGCAGCGTCATCTGATACTTCAGTTTGTGTAGTGACATCTGTTGCACACACCAGCCAAAGCATTCTCAGCATTGTTCCTGTACTTTGAATAATAAACATGTTTTCTCACCCCATTCATGTCCTTCCTTTCTTGATTTTTATGTTGTCAGGACCACGCCAGGAAAGATTTTCCGACCATGCATAGCTATGCAACTTTCCATCATCCAGCTCTCCTGAACGTTAGTCATTGCTGTATTGATATACCCTGTATAGCTGTGATGTATATCAGTGATGAAATTTATTGACGGTGAGCGCCGGGCAGTGGGAATCAGTGTATGATATTTGCATTTTATTGCCATCACTAATTGGTATATTTTAATAATTTGTTGTTACCATTGTTTGTGTTTGTTATTCACTTTTTTTGTTTTTGTCTTTAGTGTCTGCTCTTGTCTAAATGTTTGTATTTGTTCCTTTTCCTCACTTTTATGCTTATCGTTATTATTTACACATGATTATTCTCATTTAGATATTTTATGTTTCATTTTTTCATTTGTTGAAATGGGCATGGCCTGTCATGACCATAAGACAAATTGTTTGTTTAGGCGGGTCGGGCTGCACCCGCTACTGATACTGATACCCTGTATAGGTCTTCAAGCATATCTTATTTTTTAAAATCTAAGGTTTTTTTGCCCCTTCAGCATTTAAGTGTTAATATAGATAGTTAGCCATCAGACATAAGCAATTTATACAATTACTTAAGATTCATATATATAAATCATTTAAAAGCTAGCAATTTAGACATTTTTTAAAGGATATTCCATATAATATTTACTATCCTAAAATTTACGAAAAAACATTTGATAAGAATATGACAAATTCCTCACAATTTTCACATGGAAAACAATGTTGGAATAAATTACTACAGTAATTTTAGTCAGAATTACTACTCCTCAGAAATTTTATTTAATTTTAGTATGTAAATAATAATAAATATTTTTTATAATAATCATAATAATTACTACAATAATTTTAGTCAGTACTACTCCTCAGAAATTTATTTAATTTTAGTATGTAAATGATAATTAATATTGCTTTTGTATAATTATGTTTATATTATCATTTAAAACATATCAATAAATGTTTACTGAGAAGAAAAGTAGCCAACGAAAGAAGCAGTTAAGGAAGAAAGTACGCTAGTACTAAAAGTAATAAATTAGTTCAAAGTGCTGCTAAATTTTAATTGACGTTTAAAAGTATTGTATATCCAACTCATCAGTTAGAAGACATGAATTTTACCAAGCAAATTAATACATGAACTACATAAAAACAAAATAAGATACTAAGAAACTGATCTGAATGAAGTAATTAATAAAGAAGAAGGAAATTCTGCAAAAATCTCCCTTGTTTGGAGCTTCATAACAGAACTTGTCAAGAGAAAAGTATTTTGAAGCTCCATACTTGGTCGATTAATAAGAGAGCTAAGAAAAATTTTGTTCCGACTTATTCAATGAGACTTGGAAGCGCAATACTTAATCATTAGTCAATTAATTAGTATAATTAGAAGTCTCATTGAATTGTCTCTCTTCCCTATTTGTCTTAGCTTTCCAACACAAAAATGAAAATAGAAATATTTTACATTTTTACAAAAACACGTTATAAAAGTTTTGCTTTCAAAATATACAAATAGAGAACATGTGAACAATGAAAAAGTTTTACTAAGAAAAAAGCAAATTGTAAAATTACAGATATAGCCTAAGATTAAAGAAACAGCCTGAAACTGAAATTGAAGTCAACTTACTTAACCCTTGCAAAGAATAAAACTTGAAAATTGAATGCAGTGAAGTTTTGCCACAAAGCTCTGTGTAAAAAGGTTACCATATGCGAAAAAGTTCATTTTAAATGAATAACAGTCAAGCTGCAATTTGACGTGTCCTTGTAAAGGGGTGGGTTCCTTTTAGTTGGAAGAAAGGGGAGTCAACCTTCCTATCAGCAGGAAAGCTCAGAATGGCAAAGGAAAAGTTTAAAAAAGGAAAAATTTACAATTTTTTAGTAAAAGTCGTAATTCTTCATGTATTTTTAAAAGCGTCTTTTTTGAAAAGAAAATGATTAATTTGCTATGTGAAATTCATGTCTTCTAATTGACCTACAATACTTTTAAACTACGCAGCGTATTCGGAAACTAAGTACCGTTTCATTCTAGAGCAGTCGCAGCGCTGTGGTAGGCGCCCCGTGCATGCGCACCTGTCTTTCTTGTTCACTGACTTTCAATTGTCGCCATTTTGGTTGCTCTATGTTGTGTTTTTCAGTTTGCTGTGCACATTCAAAATGTTTAAGACAATTAGTTCTCCCGCTGACTGTGAGATTCGTGCCGTGATTAAATTTTTGAACCCGAGGAATGTTAAACCAGCCGAAATTTATCGTCAAGTGACAGAAGTTTACGGTGAATACGCGATAAGTGATGGAATGGTGCGAAAGTGGGTAAGAATGTTTAATGCAGGTCGAACAAATGTCCAAGCCGAATGATTTGGTAAGGAAAGTTGATGAAGCAATTCATGAGAACAGATGCTTCACAACGACAACTCTTTCAGAGGCATTTCTACAAATTTCACGTACTGTTTTGTTCGAAATTGTGTCCGACCGCTTGAATTATCGCAAACTGTGTTCCCAATGGGTTCCAAAAATGCTCACTGATGTTCACAAAACAAAGCGACTTGGTAGTGCCCTGACATTTCTCACACGGTACAGTGATGAGGGAGAAAACGTTTTAAACCAAATTGTGACAGGTGATGAAACTTAGGAACTTAGGTGTGTCATTTCACACCAGAATCGAAACAACAATCGATGGAGTGGAGACACACTCATTCTCCGAAAAAACAAAAGTTCAAAGTGACAATGACATCACAAAAAATCACGTGCACTGTCTTCTGGGATAGGAAAGTCGTTTTTCTTACTGAATTTCTTCCCAGAGGTGAAACCATTAATGCGGCATGATATTGTGAGACTTTAACAAAACTAAGGCGTGCCATTCAAAACAAACAAAGAGGAATGCTCAGTAAAGGAATTGTGTTGCTCCATGACAATGCTTGGCCCCATACTGCTGGGTGTCACTCAATTGTTAATTCGACAGTTTCATTGGGAGCAGTTCGATCACCCACCGTACAGCTCAGACTTGGCGCCGTCCGACTATCACTTGTTCCTGCACATGAAGTGCGAGCTTGGTGGCAAGCGCTTTGGATCTGACGATGACACGAAAAATGCTGTGGAGTCGTGGTTATCGAAACTGGTGGGAAGTTTCTTTGACGATGGTATACAAAAACTGGTCAACTGCTACGACAAGTGTTTGATCATTGGCGGAAACTATGTTGCAAAATAGTTTAAGACATGTATTTTCATGTAAAAATAAAATTGGATTCGAAAAAATTGTTTTACTATTTTTTTTTTTCAAAACAGTACTTAGTTTCCGAATGCGCCTCGTACAATAAATGTTTACAATCATACTTGCATATGTTACACGACATTTCTAGTTAACTGGTAATACGGAAACACAGAATAACATTAACAAACCTGGAGGAGGTGGTTGAGGAGCAAATACTTGAGGAGTAGGTAAAAGTGGAGGAACACTGGGTGCAGCATAAATTTGAGTTGGAACAGCAGGAGCAAGAGGAATTGGCAGTGGTGGAGTTCTATACCTTTCTTGATGCCTGGGAATAGTTTCATCATGTAAATGAGAACTATAATGAGTGTCATGATGGTCATAGTCATTTGATGAATAATCAAGTCCCCTAAATTAAAAAGAATTAAAAAATTCAAGTCTTAAAAAGTTCTATAAAATGACAAATCTGGATTACGTTTAAACAGCGTAGTATTTTTACTGCAAAAGGGAAAAAGGCAAATCTAGTAGGTCTGCCATACAATTCTGCAAAAATTTGGTGGCCTAGCATTTATACGACTTCACAAACTGCACAAAAAACTCAATTTAGGATCACATTAATAACTTAAAGAAAATTTTGCATTTATGTTAACATTCTAAAAAAATGTCAGTATATGTAACAGTAATTTAAATAATTAATACATAACTAAGTATGTGCTCATTATTCATATTACTGTTTCATGCATAATCTAAAAGTATACACATTTTTAGATTACACGTCTTGAGAGTTAACTTTTATAAATTAATCAAATTCTGATGATATTATGCTTTTGCATGACGTAATATGTTTCTGAGATAAACTTGAGATAAAGCAAGTCAACATACATTTAGCTTATTTCAATATAAAAAATAATCCAATCATTATAAAAGAAAATAGAAAATAATTTAATTTGAGGGTTATTAGAGGTTCATAAAATCTTTTTTAAAAATTCTTCCAGCAATAAAATTTCTATTCTAATTATAAATATATGAAAAGGCAGTTAAAAATAAATTTAACAGATGGTATGTTTAAAGCAAAAATAACAATTTGAAACAAATTAACTAAATAATATTAATATAAAGAAGCCTTACTCTGAGATATGATATCTGGATTCCCGAGGAGACCTGTCATAATGTGATTGATGAGAGGTTCTAGAGCCTCTATCACCCCGTCTTCTTTCATATCTACCATGATAATCGTCCCTTTCATGTGTATATGTATCAGATCTTTCCTCTGCATAAAAAGAATAAACATATATAAGGAATTAACTTCAACAATTCGTATTAAATATATTTAAAAATTAAGAAATGTACTCAATCAGTGCAATATTACTTAACTGAATTATAATAGAGCTTTATATTATGTGAACTAATAGTCATTGCACCCCCACCAGTGAAATGAATAAAAAATTATAGTTCACTTTTTGCTAAATCAAATTTCTTTAACTTTGCTAAATATTCAATATGTCAAACTTCTTTTATATAATGCTAAAATCGTTTACTGTGCACTTCAATTCTGACAAGACAAAGTCTGATATTGTTCTCAAACTACTTTTTTACAAACCTTTAAACAACAAATAATTTGCCCTACCAATTTTTGTTTTCTGGATCTCTTATTAACCCTTACAAATAAATACTCTTGCTGTTTTGAGTATTTAAAAATCTACTTGGAGAAAGTTGTAACTAGTTTAGAAATGCTTAAATACTTTTATCTGGAATAATGAAAAATAACTCACACATTATACATTTTTATTTTCTCTTGAACTTTGTAATATGTCTTAGAATCAGTTTTCTGTTATACCATTTACATGAATATTTTCATCTTGGACAAGGGGTATGATTGCCATATGAAAAGAATTATAACAGTTCACGAACACTTTCATATGATTCTACATTACCTAATTCTCCATAGGCCATTAAATATGATACTTTATAAAGTAACTCAAATGACTAAAAATAAATGTTTTGTGGTTTAATTAGTTTCAACTTTTTTAATTAAAAAAAATATTACCATAATATGTATGGTGACAGTTCAATTTTGGTTGGTTTTACATAAGTTATATACACATATATGCATATCTGCACACAGCCCTAGGTGTTTTCCAAGCAAAATTTACTCAAAATCTAACTTGAATTCCCAATTTTTTTTTCCAACTCCCAAAAGTCCCCTTTATTAGTCACACAACAAATTATTCACAGTTCTGAACTGTTTGACTTTCTCGGAAGTATAAATTATATGAATTTCTTTTACCATTTACCATGAGGCGCTAATGGATGAAAAATACTTGCCAAATGAAATTGTTGATAGTGCTCAGAATAAGTCCGTTTCTTGTCAACAGTCCCTCTAAATCAACTTTGTATGAATAAGATATTGAGATAATATCAATAAAATTAAACTGTTGCATTTAGTTGAACCAAGGATGTTGCATACAGGTGATTTAGGAAGTTCTGTTAACTATGGCATAAAATACACTTTTGATTACTGCAAGTAATTTAAATTGGTGAGCATACAAAACTTTGCACGATACCTTTCCATACATTATCATTGAAATGATGTTGTGCGGCATGTGGTTGAGTATGGGTTATCCAAGGCCCATATGTACACATTGTGCCTGTTGAAAAATCCTTCATGTGAAAAGTTAGCTTCATTTCAGAACAAAACAGAACTAGACAACTGCAGGCAGGCCGCAGTTTGGTGAAGAAACCATTGTGCAAATGTGACATGTCGTGGATCCAGCTGCAATAACTGAACCCTCTGATGATAATATAGATGTAAAATCTCACTGTGCAGAACACAGCAGACAGTTGACTAAGGTAATTCAGTGGCAACATAATTTCGGGATTTTGTTCCACAGCATGTAACAGTGTCTCTTCTAATACTATTGCTTGTGCTATTCACAGCTATCTGGTATCCTGCAAGATGCTGATGTATCCAAGGGAACATATGGAGATTCGATTGGTGCCTCACTGTATATCTTTTTCAATATAAAACGTGCAGCAATGTGTTCATTTCTATTAACTAATCCTTAGATAAACAGCATATTCATCAACTCTGCGTTCGCGAACCAATTAGCAATCAGCATCTAAAATGAGAAAGCTACATACGCCACCTAACCATTTCCACCCATGCTTTTCTATATGATTATGATTCCTAACAATGTTCTCTACTCCTCCCCAAGTTTGTACACGAAGTTTAGGGACACCCCAAATTGTGCATTGGTGCCTTAATATTTATGAATTAACATTTAACACCCACATAATATTTATGAATGACTACCCATAAATATTATGTGGGTGTGTTTCAACAAATTTTTTTATGATTGACTACTCACAAAAAGCACTTTTGATAAATTTTACATAATATACTTCACACAGAGCTTATGAAATCCCATCATTCTTTCCCTGGAAGTTTGCTACCTTTTTGCATCTAGATATACTTTTATTAGCCATTCTTGGCATAGCTGCCAACCTTTAAATCTTAAAAACCAAAAGGTTTCCATGCTGCATGGTGACACAATTTCAAAGGAATTGCAAACTATTCGTAATCCAATTCTGATGTAAAATATATTAACATTTAATTAGATATTCTAAATTTTATGCTTTTTGGTTAATTTTTTTTTTTATTTTCTTACACTTTTCATACTGAGAAAATCCCAAATAATCTTGAAAGCAGGCAGACATTTGATGTTATATGCCTCCACAAGAAGAAAATCACAATTTTGGCACAATAATATTTATGGTTAATTTTAAATTGGTGTTTAAATTTTGTTCATCTTAAACAGAAAATTCATTGGTATACGTTTCAAATTATTTGTACAGTTTTTGGTATTACTTGTTTAATAGTGGCTAACAGATACAGAAAATTATATTACATTAACATTCTACGAAAAGGGGGAGCAAATTAAAAATATATATAACTTACCACGATGTGGTCTCTGATTCGGAAATTGCTGACGTACTGGAGCCAAACGCTAAAACACAGATTTAAAATTTTTAATTAAAAGGATATTAACAATTTATAATGTGTGAAGATAAACAAACTGCATAAATTTATTTGGGAAATTGAGTATTTTGTTTCTGAATACTTACACCAACATATTTAGTTTTACGAATATTTGTAATTGTTTCTATAGTGCTGATGGGTCTCGGTTCTGATGACGGTGAATAATCCTCCCTATACCGATTGTATGCATCATGGCGACTTTGCTTAGAACTAGGATAATAATCATACTGTTCTGAGTGATATGAATCTTGACCAATTGCTTGTATTGGTAAAGACTGGCTTGTCACATCAACTGGAGGTTCATCAGCTAGTGGGGTTCCAGGCTGGGTATCCTCAGGCCTAAAACATGGATTTTTAGATGGTATTTAATATGACTACACAAAATTTAATATGCACATATTTTCTATAATCAATTTACTATCTATCCATAATGAATAGGTTAAATTCTTTTAAGCATATCATTACTTTACAAGCAAACACAATGCAATTTAAATTTTTTACTCAATAATTAATAAAAATATTTTATTCTTACATGGAAGTTTTACAAAATTTGTTTACATGTTGGCTTCCAGGTGGCGAGTATTTCAGTTTTAAAATACAGAAACATTTCAGACAACATCTAATTACTATCATCTCTTTCAATAACTAACTTTTTCAAGTATCCATATTGCACAAGAGGAAAAAATCCTATGGCTGTAGCATTCTCAATAATGAGACATTACAATTTTATTAGACATTTTAAAATGCAAAATTGCATTTTTTCAATTAATCCAGTTTTTCAGTAATGGTATTTACGAAACCTTTATGTCAGACCTTGAAACAAATCTAATAACATGAAGAAACTGAATTATTTTATTGCTTTCGTAAAATTTATATTGTGCAGTTCTCTAATGCTATTCTTGTTAATGCAAATGTGCATATCTAGATAAAGAAAGCAAAATAAACACACACAAAAATTTGGTATCCAAAATAGATATTATAATTTGGTACCTGAAACTAAAATCTAAGTATTCAGAAGAAGTAACAAATGCATACATTAACTCAGTTTAATATTGCTTTATACAATCTGAAATCCGTAAGGGTAACAGAACTATTTAAAATATGACTCATAATGCTACAGTACAAAGTCCATAATCCGGACTCGTTGGGATTTCGGCGATTCCGAATTAGGGTTTATTCCGGATTAAAGATCATCAATTTAAATTTGGTAAGATGGCATGCAGAAATTATACAATTAAAATATGAAACCATAATTATGAAATAAAGAGCAATTATGATTTAAAGGGCATCAAAATTTACCAAAAAACTTAATATTTATTTGTTTACTTTATTAAACATTTCTTTCAATGTAAGTTGTTTTGTTTTCTGCTAATACTTTCTCTTTAATTCTATAAACAGACATAATTTCTTGTTCAGTTACAAAGTTCCACTGTTCAAGTCCTGTAATTGCTGTGCCGAGAATACCGACTAACTTGTCAATCGAAATTTTTTCATTTTCACTAACCTCTCTGTCACTTTCTGCATGCCTTTATCCATTTTTTGCAGAAATTCCACTTTTTGTTTGATTGACATAGAAACAAGCTTTCGCTTTGTAGATCCTTCGGCAGCTCCAGAATTGGAAACTCTTTTTGACATAATCGAAAGTTCAAGCTTAATTTTTTATAAAATTGCTCTAACAGTCTGCAAAAAATAAATAAGCCGGATCCAATTAAGGAACAGCACAATCTGCAACATTAACTGAAATAGATAATTTTAGCCTAGCTTATACCGTCCGTAATACATTAAACGTGCACACGTAAACGTATTATGCGCATCCATAAACGCATTATGCATTTATGCATGCGCATAAAGTTTGTAGCTTTGAGGTGCAGATTATAGATCATTCCGGATTATGGACGTCCGAATTAAAGACTTTTATGCTGTATTAGTTTACCTTTTTAAAACTCCAATTTTTTTTCTTACTAATATTTTGTTATAATCAGAACTTTAGTACTTACTACTAAATAAATAATGATAAATTTACTAGAAAATTACATTAATATAAAATTTACATTCAAGCAAACTTGGCAACTAATTTTATTAAATCTAAATAATTATTTATTGGTGCAGAAAAATACATTAACATTCTATATATTGTATAAGTATTGAAAGAGACACCAGAATAAAAATATCAGCAGGGTGGAAAAATGACTTAAAATTTATGAACAATGATACTTTCAATTTACATGTCAATAAATCATGCAGCGATGCCAATAACTTAAGTATTTCAGACCTACAAAGCAAAATTTCAGTTTAAAATACTCTATGTCCCAAATGGTTCAGAGGTATAAAACATGTATCCAGAACTCATTAATCAACTTGAATGCTTCAAAACACTTTTCCCTTGACAAGTTCTGTTTGAAGCAATAAACAGAGGAGATTAATAAAAAATTGCTTTGTTATTTGTTTAGTTATGTATCATTTAAAAATAAATTTCATTTAACAATTTTGTTTTTGAAAGTTTCCTTAATTTGTATTTATTCAGTTTGGTACCTGGAATACTTTTACCTGGAGAAAAAAGATTAGGCTCTCGTATTTCTGGAAAAGAATTTTATTCACTTTTTTTTTATGTTTTGATTTCTTTTATCATTTTACAATGTAGCAGCTAACATGCAGATTCATCTCTTTCCTTTTAAATTATTAGAATTTTAAGGATGACTATTCTGAAACGAATACATATGTAAGATCTAACATAGCTGCTTTAGAAATAATTGGCAATCTCAAAATTAACATTCTAGATTTGATGCTCTCTCCCTAAATTCATCCATTCTCCCAAATTTGAGATCTTTCTACGTTATATAATACTACTGAAAAAGGGCAACTAAAACTAATATTAACCAATCATAGCTTATCTCTAGAATCGCACCTACTTTGGTATAAATACCTCTGATGAGCTAATTACATCATTATTCAAAATATCTACTGAGATGGTTTTATATGAGTGGAAATAAAGACTGAAAATTGTTCAAGCTCAGAGTGTTAACTGTGTCATCATAGTTTTTACCTTCAAACTATGACTGCTCAGCCATGACTGTTATATAGAAAACTTAAAGTAGCTTTAGTAAACTGATTGCAAAATATTCATACACAATTATTACGAAAGTAACAAAAAAGCTACATACTCTTCCTCAGCCTTTTGTTTAGGAGACAGACTGCCCTCAGGTGCAGAATGTAAACTGCCTTCAGGTACAGAATGTAAACTTGTATCAACGTTTTCAACAGGTGGATCTGTTTTCTCTTTTACATCATCACACTGTTCTTTCTCTTCTGAAAGAGGAATACTCTCAGACTGATTTACAGACACGGTGTCAGCCTGCTGTTGCGGCTGATTCTCGACAGTTGAATCAGGAGAAGGCTGTGGAGAATCTACAGACTGTGATGCACCAGGAGGTGACTTTGCAACAAAAACCTTTTTCACCCGTGTATAACCAGTTTCATTTTTAAAGTTGAGCACTGCAGTTCTTAAGAAACGATTTGGAATTAATGTGTTTGGAGACACTTCTGTCTCATGGCATACAGGGCATTCATGATTGTCAGATTCCAGAAGAACTTGACGCACACCTAATAAAAATATAATAATATATATATATTTTTTACTACAAATAATACTAATAATAAAAGACAATGTATATTTGGTACTAGAAGGCAAATCTTAACAGACCTAAAAATTTGACAGCTAAATGATGGTAATTCAGTAATTTTGCAATACACTTTTTTTTTATTAAAAAAACTCAATTTTCCATAATCTGAAAACAGTGCCAGTTTTTTAAATATTAGCACAGGCATTAATACAGAAAAGCATATCAAATAGCTTACGTGTAGCTGAATAGCAATTTCAAAGCACATTTCATATACACACTCATGAGATCTAATTTAGTTCCTACATTTAATTTTACTATAAAATTTGAACAAGAATTTTTTTTTTTTTTTTTAAATTACAAATTAGTGCAAATTCCCTAAAACCCAACTGTTCTGGATATATTGACAAGGCATAATGCATACCCTCCTACAAGAAATAATAAATGAGTTAAAATGTTGAAATTTGCTTTAAATTTTTGATATTATCATTAGGTAACAACAATTGGGAGGAAAAAAAAAGTGTGAAGCACTTGCATAACACTTATAACATAAAACATTCTTTCTAATAAATTCTTAAAATGCAGCGAATTAATTTCTCAAAAAATTAAAATGCAGTCCAGTTTAAAGTGTTTCCCAGATCACAGAAGAACCTCAATAAACAAAAATATAATTTTAAGGAGAAAGGTAGAAGAGCCTACGACTCGCATTAGTTTTTCTAATATATACAGCACAGAATTTTAAATTAAACTACACACATATATTTACAATCTTTTGAGAACCTTAAAGCTATAATCATTGCTGCTAAAAATATATAAATATTTTAAAAGGGACTAATGGAAAGCATAAGTTTTTGAGGTAAAAGAATGGCTTACATTCATCACAAAAACTATTTCCACAACATGGGATGAGCACAGCGTCTTGGAGCAAGTCTTTACACACCATACAGAGCAATTCCTCAGGTATCTGTGCTTCAGGCTCAGTAGCTGGTTCCTCTTGGGGAACAAATGGAGGTTTTTCCTTCTTTACTTCTTTGTAAGCTTGACTAAATAGGAAGAAGGAAAGAACAAATACTTACATACAAATATAAATTACATAAAAATAAAACAAAATGGCACTACATACATATTATAATTAAACTGTAAAAATGACAAACAGAATTACAGAAAGCCATATTTTAATATCACATTTAGTATGCTTTTGATAATTATTCTGCATTTGTTATAAAATCTGCATACACCGAGAATAAAAACAAAAAGTAATGTCTGGCAGTTTACCCTAATATTATAGTTAAAACTACAGCTTGATGAATAAGGATACCATCCTACATAAAAGCTGCTGAGTTCAAGCAAACATCATATTATTAACAACCAAAATAATAGAATGCTTTGAGAAGAGATACACATAATTGATTATTACAATGCCGCTAACAGAACCAGCAGAACTTGATAGGGGGGAATCTAAATCACATTTTTATACAGTCCCATACATACCAAAATGTCCAAATAATAAAATATTGTTTTAACAAGTTGAATATAAGTTTTCTATCTATCTGCAATAATTCATAAGCAGACTGATAGAACCGCAAAAATTCATAAGCAGATTGATGGAATTAACAAATCTTATTACGGGAAAAATTTGATATAAAAATTTTTTCCACCCTACAAAATTTAAAGAAACATCACAAGACAAAAGTTGCTTCTTTTAACAATAATCCTTTCATTCACTCACATCAAGCAAAGCAGCACTAATTATAAATTTACTGTTAGCCTTAGGGGAAATCACTGTTGGTTAATTTTTTCTAATACCATCGACCATTCTTTGTGAATTTACATGTAAAAGCATAGAACTTCAGTAAATAAAGATATAAAAGCCAGCAGCCCTTTTCTTTAAACATCCTGTATGAAGAAACCTGCACATACCTATTCATTTAATGTAGCAAACAGATCAATTTAGATTACACGCATATCAAACTGGAAGACAGAAAGCAGCCTAACTACAAGACTAGGTATGTAATGCAGGACATAATCAGCAAAGACTTTTCAAACATGCACTGAGGCCTTGGGTTACTTAGGCTTTTAGTTACTTAGGCCTTGGGTTACTGTCTATCAGGTAGGCTTTCACCTACCTGATAGACAGACGAGTTGCATCTAGTTGGTTGTAATGATGTCATACTTCAACAACTTACTGTACACTTCGTTAGCCAAGAAAGATACAAGAGATATTCAAAGACAGGAGTACTAATGCTAAACAGCGTGAAGAATCCAAAGGACCATTCAGGATCAATGTCTTCTCAACATAATATTTAACACACAAAATAAACAAATGCAATTAAAATTTAAAAGAATAACAACAACATATTTATTAATTTCTTGAATAAATCTAATTCCGATAGCGGGGTAACTGATCAGCTCCCTTACATACAACAGTAAGTAATTCTCATTTTTACATTCAAGTCATTACTGTAGAATAGATTCCCATTTTAACAGAACAAATGATTATATACATAAACTTAATTATTTAAAAAAAAATCTCTAACAAAAATGAAATTACAATTAAAGATTTACATATTTTTGCCACAATAATTTTAAACTTTAATTAAGACACAACCAATTCCTTTCAATTTCAAATGAATTTCTCTACAGTAAATTACTCCCAAAACTAAAAAATCAAATCATTAAAATGACTGCTCATACTTGAGTAATTAAACTAATTATTAAAAGAAAGCAAATGAAAATAAATCACTTATGGGAGACCATTTTTACGGACTGAAGGAACCAATCCACTTGGAAATAAGGAAAGACCATTTTTCTGGCAAACATTTTCTGAAGCGTCCATTATTATTATGACTTACAAAAGCAGGATACTAGAGACACATACTTATTCAAACTGCATGGAACTTCCTTAAATATGTTCATTAGGTGGGAGACAATTGTCCAAATTAGAAGGATCTTTAGTGTCCAATCCAATAAGTTGGTAAACCAGTTTTCTAGTAAGAACACCTTTGGAAGCGTCTACTGATTTCAAGAACAAAGGGTGCATGATACCTCTTCTGTCTATAACAAATACTTCTTCGGGAAAGCTCCCAAAAAGTCTACTTAAATTTCTCGGGAAACTATATAGCTAAGAAGCGGCGAGGCAATAGTTGTGTGTACTACTCTTTGTCATCGCTCCAACGAAAAAAATTCTCATCACCTAAAAGCCGAAAGAAACACCGCTCCAGACTGCAGGCGCAGGCCCCTGCAAGAGGACAAGCCCTGCCACAGGGCAAAAGAACCCCCCCATGCACTTTTTATAAAACTTTACAGTGCTGCTGCTCAAATCTCACTGACTTCTAACCTCGTGCAAATTCCAAAGAAATCTCAGTTTCTCTGCCCCTTAGAGACCATATGTCAAAACATGTCTCGTAAAATTTAACTTAAATCAACCCTAGACCTTTCACTTATTTAGCTGAGAAATTTCACCACTTCAAATGAATTAATATCAAGACAATTCTGCAAAGAAACTCTGGACCAGCTGCAGCCAACAGTGTGAGAAATACCAAATGATCCCCCCCTCCAGCTAACAATGGAAAAACTAACAGATAAGAATCAAATTGCCAGAAATTTACAGAACAGCCAATTCCAGAAGAAACTGATTCATTCAATCATAGCAATATGCCAAAGCGAGAAAGCCAATTTACGACTTCCTTTCACTGCCCATTGGCAAAAAACCCCCTAGCAAAGACATTCGAAAATACACTATGCTACCCTCGGTTCTACCACTAGTAAAAGCCATTAAACAGATGTCATTCCCATTCAAAGAAAGTTCAAAAGAAAAGCAACCTGTCTTAGTTCCAAAAACCTACCATTGAAAAAAAAAAAAAAAAAAAAAAAAAGCCGCTGATGCTTGTAACACTTACAAAATTTCATTTTTTACATTTTCAAATTTAAAGAAATTCAAATAAATATACTTAATTAAAGATTACTTAAAAAACATGAACACACTTTAAAAATTCACGACACAACATCCAAAGAAAGCCTTTTGAAGAAGCAGGTTGAATACTTCTGCAGCAGTTGCCATTTGGTGAACAGAGAGACTAACAAATGCTTTATAATAAAGAACTGCAACTCAGTATTCCACAAGAATGACTGGCAGAAATTTAGCAGGAACTCCACTAACTTTCACAGAGAATAAGATAAATGTAAAAGCACCCCATGAAAGAAATGTGGTATTTTGATTATGTTAAAAAACTTTAAAATTTCAGTTAAATCCACCAAAAAGTAATTCTTTTTTTTTTTAAATTCTTTGTACAAAGTAAAGGAAGTATTGTAATCACAAAAAATTTTGAGTATCATATTTCAGAAAAAATACCCATTTTGAATGCTATCAATTGCATAAAAGACTTTTTCCCCAAACCAATTATAAAACTGATTTGAAATGGATTCAGAAAAATTTTTTTCGAGGCGTCTGTATACGTATCTTGCATAAAAAAAACGAGTTGCCTCAGAACATTGAAATTTTTTTGTATACGACTGCTATAATGTGTAGTTGTTCATCTCCCTTTTTGGTTGCAATCCAGTCACACCAAAAGTATATGCATATATATACTTATACACTTTTTTACAAAAAAATCGAAGCACCAAGAAGGACTTTTGTGATTGTGACGAAATTTGGTATACAAAAACATCTTGATTGAACATGCAAATGACCAAACTTTCAAGGCAAAAGAACAGGAATTACGATCATAGTGTGCAATTCACAAAGTATAAAACCAGTAACAAAGGTTGAAAATTTATCATTTTTGTTGCTGCCGATGTAATTCTGTAAACAAGCAACTAAAAATGCCATTACAATGAATATCGAAGACAAATAAACAACTACAAGACAACTAAACGACTTCGAACATGGTCACATTGTAAGGTTGGTAAACTGGTTGCAAACTGGGTGGTCATACTGAGCAATAGGCTACCACCTGCAGCATACAGACACGACTGTGCAAAGATGTTGGCAGCAATGGTAGCTACAAGGAAATTGCTGACAAAATGAAGGCCAAGGAGCACAAATGTGAGGCAAGATAGGAGGATGGTTTTCCAGACCCGAACTGCCCAAATGGTATCAATGTTGACTATTCAACGCACTACAGCCACGTCTATACCTCCCGTAGTACCTTACACCATCTCACGGTGCTTGTCTGAGGCGGGGTTACCCTCACAGAGGCCTTTAACCCTCTGGCTGATGCTCCCATGAATTCCATGGACAACTCAAATGTAGCTAAAATTTGTTTATCCAGTGATTTCCGCAGGCATATGTTTTTCTTCCTTTATTGAGGAGCGCATCCCGTTTTTCCTCCCGTTTAACCATTGAAATAAATTATACAGAGTATTAAGCGTTTAGGTTACGTTTTGACCAACAGATATCGTTAGTTGTCTAATTGCGGCATTTGAAGGCATGTGGTATTAGCGCTTTTTTCTTACAGAAATGGCGGCTAGAAAACATTCAGCGATATCTTAATTATTTAATTAAATTATTGAATTATTAATTAGATTTATTGAATCTGGTGGAAAAACTGTGAAGTTGGACTTTGCCTTCAACCTTTTTTGAACTCTATTCTACTAAACTGAATTTCTAAGGTATTTTTTCCTTAGCGCTTTATATTTTCTTAAATTTTATACATTTTACTTTTTTACATTATGCAATATATATAAATTAACTGTATTTCGCTTGAAATTTATTTAAAAAAGATCTTTTTTTGGTGATAACATCTGAAATTGGTTTTCTGGCAACTCAAAATTCTCATGATAAAAATCTATATAAAAATATTTTCTAGAAAGAAAAAGTGCATTTTTAAATTCTCCAATATATATAGAGAGATTTAAAATATAGGGGGAAATAAAAAAACTACACACAATTTTGGAAGCGATTTTGGTCTACAAATTGAGCAGTCAGAGGGTTAACCCCACAACATCGGCGGAGTCATCTGGAGTGGTGTCGCAGCCGATCATCATGGCTGCCATCGTATAGTGTTCAGCGATTAATCCCACTTCACTCTTGAAGCAGATGACCACCATGTTCGTGTCTGGAGAGGACGGAGGCCAGAGTTCCAATCAGACCTCTGGTGTGATATGCTATTTCTTATGACAACAGGTCATCTTTAGTCATCCTCCGTATATCTTTAACGGCTCAACAATATGTTGACACCATCCTGCGGCCGATTGCATTACTCTTCATGGCACGTTATCCTGGGACCATTTTCTAACAAGATAACGTCAGGCCACATATTGCTTGCATATCTCTGGACTGTCTGCGGTTGATATTCTTCCTTGGCCAGCAAGATCACCAGACCTTTCACCAATCGAGCATGTCTGGGACATGGTAGGATGCCAAATTTGTGCACCCCAAATATCGCAGATCTGGAGGGACAACTGGCAGAATGTGTCACAGGATGACATTAGAAACCTCTAACACTTCTTGCCTTGACGAATTCAAGCATACATTGCCGCCAGGGGCAGTTCGACCAACTACTAATTTGACACTCAGTGGGTGATTGTAAGCTGTGAACAGGCACTATGACCTTGATTTTTTTAATCATTTTATTATCCATGTACGAGCTAAACAACCACTTCCTTCACGGTGCTTCTTCTTCTTCTTTTTTTTTTTTGCAAAAGAGTATATATATAAACCCACTCTATTACTCAGCTTCATGAGCTCAGAATTCTTATTCTTATATATTCATGAATTGCCCAGTTTTTTTTTTTGCTTTAAAAATTATTGAATTATATTGTTCTTATCTTTCGGTTAAGGTTTTTATGCGTTTAATGAGAACCTGCATGTTATAGTTGCAGATTTATCAACAATTTAAAAATTGTTTAAGGAGCGGCTAAGCCTAGTTTCTTTTACCATAGCAGACATATTTGTTTACATTTGAAACTTAGCACAACAGTGGATTTGTTGCCAGTCTAAAGAAACTAAGCTTTGTAACAATGAAGTAGTCTTCATTAACTCAGTTTCTATGTCTTCAGTGTTTTTTTGCTGAGTGACAACAAAAGTAAACTTCCAATTTTGTGCACCAAAAATCTGTCTTCTTGTTCACTGGCCGAATTGCTTGTTTTAGCATAGAAACTGTAATTTTAATTGTATAAATTGTTTTAACTGTATTTGGTGTTTTTCTACATCTTTCAATTTTTAATATAGATATTTTGAGTTTTTATGTATTTTTGCCTTGTCACAAAGTGAGAACTGAATAATTTGAACAGTTTTTTTTTTTTTTTTTTTTTTTTTTTTAAACCATCTACAACTTTAGGGGATTAAATATAAAATTCTGGAGAGCAAATGTAAGAACTGTATTGTGAAAGTAACAAAATTTCATGGAGTAGAAGTTACACTGCCAAAATTACATAAAGACATACATTTTTTAAAATTTCTATTTGATAGCTTTGATTTAAAATCTGTTGTTCTTATTAGCTCCCCTATTCTACTTTATATGACCCGTGAAGAAAACTGCTGTATAAAAAAACAAGGGGGCTATTTAGTATATTTAAAACAACACAAAATAAGTTTTTTAACATGTATTTTATTAGTTTCCAATTTTCCCTTGGTATTTCTATATTCTTTCCTAACACTTAATGCTGCATAGAAATACTCTTTATTGGTAGTAAAATACAGTGATTTATATTAGAACAAAAGCACACTAATAACAAATATAAAATCTGGCAAAAATCAACTTCATTTAGGTACTAATTTTACAGAAAAACTATCATAACTTAATAATGACATAAATTTGAAAGATTTTAACCTATTTTTTTAATAGTGTTTACTATTATTACAAATTTTGAACTATTTTATGACTTTGATTTCATACATTTGGGGAAAAAAAAAAAAAAAAAAAAAAAAAAAAAAAAAACCACAGATACTGACATTTTATAAAATTAATGTACAGGAGAAAATACAGTGGTTTCATTTAATCTACCATCTCCCCCATCTGAAGGACTGGCAGCTTTTTTCATGATCAGTAACAGATTAAAATATACCTGTTGACATCAGTAGAAATGTAACAAAGAGGCCAACAAGGCTAACTTACTGATCAATTAAAGGAACAGCATAATCTCCCGAGCTCGTTAGAAGAGCCCCTTTATGTTCAGGACCATCTACCGGAACCATAAAACTACGAGGGATTCCTGTACTACGTTTCACATCCGGCTAAAATAAATAAAAAAGAAATCAACGTAAAAGTATTAAGCAATTTATGTCTCCGAAAATATGCCAAATGCTAAAAATAATCAAATAAAAAAAGAAAAATTTCTTACATTGTTAGTTGGGCAGTTTTTAATCCAATGCCCCTGCTTGCCACATCGGTAACATGTATATGTAGGGGGAAGTGGTCCTGTCATACTGCGGCTCTTCACGTATCTAATTTAGGGCACGAAAATGTAAAAAACTGAGTTGCTTGAATAATTTAGAAAACAAATTAAATTCTTCCCTTATGGAAATAATATTAAAGAGACTAACATAATTCCAAATGAAAAAATAAATTTTCAGATAAACTGTTTTGGGATTTGGAGAAACAAAATTTAAACAGTTGTAAATTTTTGCATGGTACATTTGCCTACCTATATAGAACTGAAGTAATCATGGAAAACTGCATGAGCTAGCACATATTTTTCTAAATATTTAACTGACCAGTTTTCATGAAAACCAACAACAAACACAAAAGGTCCAACTTCTTTATTTATATATATATATATATATATGAGTGTTCATATTCTGACTGCAACAATCTGCATAAAAATACAGCAAATCAAATATGCTACAATAAAAATTATGGTAGGTATTTCATCTCCAGTAAATTTATATGCAAACCCAAATTTTCTAATGAAACTACTTCCATGTGAAAATTAATGTTTGATTTCACCTCTTAACATAAATCTGAATTACACTGCAAAAGAATAGAAGAAATAAACAGAAGTCTGGATTGGTATTGTATTCATATTTTCATGGCAGCTTACAACCTTTAGTGCCTTAGAAAGTCCTCCACGAAGGCATCCCTCCCCTTAGGCAGATAGCCCTCGTGTGCTTTGCTATAATTAAATACACCACACCACACCACAAACTTTAGTGCAGCGAAAACAGGGATATCACATAGCAATAGCCATTTATATTAAAATCAATTTCACAAAAACTGGGAGAAATACAGATTCCTCCTTTCTCAAATTGTTACGATTTACCACAATAAATGAAAAGAAACTAGTAAAATGTCACTTACTTTGAAGGATCATATTCTTGACTAGACTGTGTAATCATTGCTTTTACTTTATCGTCTTCACTTGCATTTGCATTGACAAGATCAGCATTCTAAATGTGGAGGCAAGAAAATGTAAAAATTACGTAAAATGCAGAAAAATATGATTATTTTTATTTTGCTCTTTAATTGCAGCAATTGTATTTATTTCTACCTCAAAATAGCAACAATATCCCACAAAAAACCAACATAAACAGAAATGCAATTTATAATTATTCAATGAAATGGAACGAAAAATGCAAAAGGAGTTTACAAGTGAACAATGTTAAAATTAATTTGCATAAGACTTCTTCAAAAACAGCAAATTTTTCAAATTATTAAATAAAACTGGTGCCTGTTAGAGCTTATTAAATTAAATGTAAAATCATATTTTTCAGATCTGTATTACTACAATCAGGCATATATCTATTTTAGCCTGTTGTAGAAAAAACTAAGCCTGTATTTTCTCATCATGACAGGGAAGAAATTATATTAATAAAATATATATGAAGCTCTAGTTAGAAGAATTACAATTAGGATATTCTAATGAAAAAAGTACATTTATAAAAAATACTGCTTAATCAATGTACGAAAAATCTTTCTTCAGGTAATAAAAATTGATATAAAAAGTATGCACACATACTATCTGAAGTATAAAAAATGTTTTTATCCTAGCTGGAACTAGATAAACATATTGACATTAAATTATCAAGCCTAAAATATAAGTTAATTGGAAGGGATAAACACTGTGTTCACTACTACTAAGAGTTGCAATATGAGATTTTTTTCTAGGAAGCAAGGTTTGCCATGTATCTATGCTATGATACATGGCAAAGAATTTATATTTTATTTTCTGTCACTCAATATGTATGAAACATTGCATTTATTTTAAAATCACATTAAATTTAGAAAAACTTACCTTAACAATTCTGTCATAACGTATTTGTCCCAAATCATCCTATTAATAAAAAGCAGCTAATTAGTCTTAACTGTTATTTTAATCTTCTTTCAATTAGTATTTCAAGCAATAATTATTTTAAAAATTTTTACAGACAACCCAGGCACATGGCTAATAATTCTATTTAAATTACTAAAATCCTACACCTGTAAAAATTTGTAGCAGAACTGATTAAATTTTATAATTCACAGAAATCAGTTGCTATGGTTTTGCACTTTGACACAATGTAAGTGCAAAAGACATTTTAATTCTTCATGGCAATCCAACTCTACTTATTATTTGGTGTAATTTGCAACAACAGGTACAGTGTTCACAACAGTTACAAATTATACATTAAATACTAAAATAAAATCTTAATATTAAATAAATTCATAGTTAAGAATTTAATCAGTACATAATAAGCATCAAACATATTTATAACTTTCCCATCTTACGGCAAATTATCAATACCATCTAAACAAAATCAGACTGATGAAATATAATATTCAATACTTTCCTTAACCCTTTTTTAAGGACAGAAGGTACAAATGAGGACGTACTGCTAGGGCCAGCTGCATTTTTGCAAGCAATTTTCCCGCGTTACTAAGCTTCCTACTACTATTAGTTTTATGCTAGTAAGTCTAAATCCATGAAATTACAGAAAGATGTACACATTGCTTAACAATTTTCTATATAGTATATGTTTTATATATATATATATATATTTTATTTACATACTTCATATACTTAGGTTTTTCTTTTAGTTTAAATGTTTTAATTTTGCGCTTTTGTTTTTTCAGTATTTACTTGCCTATTAGTGACATCTGACATTATGTGCGATAAAGTTGAAAACACAGACCTGCACACAGTGTCTTATCCTTGCATTCATATTGCTCATTTGGCTTTTTGAAGAATTTTTGAGGGGAATATAAACAAATGAAAACCTGAAATCGCACTCTCATTTTGTTTGAAAGGACTTATAATGCTCTTGTTGATTTTCGTATACCATTAACACTGCTGTTTCTAGAGGAAAACTGTGAGATAATTTGATTAACTAAGTTAAGACGATAGTTAAGAAGTGGAAGATTGTTTTGACTTTTTTTTAAAGAATCTTAGCATTAAAAATAGCCATATCCAAGATATTAACAATTTTTTATACTGTTTATTTTTTTAATACAATTTTCCTGAAAGACCGATATTGATTTATTATGGCATCACTTAAGTCTATTCTTCTCATATTTTTATTGTATTCTAAAATGCAATCTGGTTTCAGGATAGAATTTTCATGTAGTCTGATCTTCTTTTCACATTTGTTTGCATTCCGCATTGTCAAAATAATTAGTACTTCCTATCTATCTTCGAAAGCAGTTAAGTTTAGATTCTTTTTCTCCAAAACCAACAAATCACCAATTTTTATTTTGGGCAGTGAAAAATTTTCAGGCATTCCTCTTTTTTTCTCTTCTCATTACAGTGCGCCAAAAGTATTTGTTCCAAGTCTAAAAAAAAATTGATCTGCCAATGATAGAGAAATGAAAAAACGATAAATACCTAAAAGGTATCCTTGACCAGAAAGTTCTTCAAGTACAGAGTTAAAAAATCTTTCCCCATATAATCCTGAAATTACTTTTAAGTATTTTTCTTTCCCTGTATAAACAATAGAGTTACATATATAATCTAATTTATAAATTTTAATTTCATATTGGTATTGTTTAGCAGGGATGTATTAGTGAAATCAAATCTTTCTTTCCACAATAATAAGCTTTCATATATTGATATATTCCTTTCAGGAGTGTAGGCTGACTTAAAAGTCCAGATTATTTTATTCAAAACTGACTGAAGCTTTTGCACTTTTCTTGGTATCAACCAATGGAGATACACAAGCATCGAAGAATTTCAACATAATGATCATGATTCATTAGTGTTAAAAAATGGCATTAAGATCAAAGAATTCATAGAAAAGTACATTTTGATTTTTTTTTTTTAAATACCAATTAAAATTGCCCTTCCTTTTAGAACTCCTTTCAAGATAATAATAAATATCAACAATGTGTTCATCCACACTTATTTGCCCTTTTCCAGCTACTAAATTTAAGAGATGACATGTGCACCTCATAATTTGCAAATCTGAATTTTCCTTTTAAAAAATGCCTGCAACACCAGTCTTCAAGCCTATCATTACTGCCACATTATCAGCACCAAGTGCTAAGTAGCCAGAGAAATTGCATCTTCTTTAATAATTAGCTATGATACATTAAAGTCCTTCTACTGTCAAATGTCCTTCTAAAGTAGGGACATAAAGTAAACTACACTCAATTTCTGAAGACATTGGATTAAAAAGGAAACAACAATTGGATACAGTTTTGAATCGATATTCTTGCTTCCATCCATAAAGAGGCAGAATGGAACTGCTTTAACCGGGGCTTTGGTAGCAGTAAAAGCTACCAAAGGATGGGGAATTTTGAACCGAATGTTTTCCCCCCTTTAAGAAATCACCTTCTATTTGCAACAAAGATTCTTGTGTGTAGTTTAATGGATTCTCAGAGGGGTGCATCTATGTCGCAAAAGGAAGACTTTTGAAAGAGATAAGTGGTTAAAACCCTAGGAAAGTCAAATTTGACATTTAACCCCACTTTTCAGCCTGGAAAATGGGGGAAAAAAGACATGGCCACTAAAGTGGACAACCCCGTCTTTTCAAAGAGAGGACTCTATGGCCACTATAATGGTCATCCCGTCTTTAAAAGGTTAATGCAATAACTGAAAATTTATTTTTCATACCCATTTCTTTAAAAATTGCAACCGTTTTGGTCTTAGCAATTGAGTATTTCTTAGTGATTTCACTATCTAGAAACACTTTTCTAAATAATGCTGCTGCATGATCCAATGCATTCAGGAGCAGGTTGTGCTCCAGTAAAAAGGCAGAGAACAGGCATTCTGCATTAATAATTTTATGGTCCTTTGTTTGTTTGTTGAAAAATTTAATTTTTCGTTTTCTTCAATAGAACTCACTTTGCCCTTGTGTTTTTGTGTGTGCACGTGCAGTACCGACCGATAGGTGCCCATGTAACAGATTAAAATTGGACCCCCCTTTTTTAGAGGAATATATGTTTGATAATCATTTTGCCGCCCACGTATTGTGCACCATCTTGCCTTCCACTATGATCAGCCCTGTGCACGTTTTAGACACTGGCTATTCCACCGTACAAAATCGAAAAATCACAGTGAAAAAAGGGTACACATTGCAAATGTATTACACTTACTTGAAGAAAAAACAGAGGGAAAGTCATCTGTGTACGGTTTTAGAAAAGTAAATTTTTTCACAGACATAACTAAAACAAAAGATTGTAATTTCTTAAAACTATTTCTCAAAAGCACATGCACTCACTCCCCTCAGCGACAAGATGAATGAAAATACTTTGATCTTGTTTTCTGCCCATTGGCTAATATATGCCAGATGGCATGCAGTGACGTTCGATGATCATCGGAGAATTGAAACATTATGCCTTAGGACACACGCTCTCACTCACAAAGCAGGAGCATGCCATATTTTCTCACTGATGAAACTACTTTTTCTTTTATATGTGATCTAGAGAAAAACCAAGTTCTTTCAGTCGCACAAAACCACTTTTTTTTTTGGGGGGGGGGTGCAAATAACAAAGCTACATAAAAATTGTGTGAAATTTTAAGAAAAAGAGAAAGTTGGGAGAAACATACTGTAAATTGGATTGGTGGGAGAAGGGTCAGAAATCGGGAGAGTTGGCAACTCTGGATTTCAATTAATGAATAGTAATTGAAAGTTTAATATACCAACAAACTCCTTTATTTCTTGTTTCCTGGTAAAATAAGAAACCATTTATCATTAAGATGTATGTTTTTTTTCCCCCTCTGGCTGTAGCAAGTTGGTTGAGTGAAAACTGGGAATGAAAATGTTTATCACTGCCTTAGAAGTGTCACTGAGTTTAATAACACTTGTATTGAATTATATTCCTCAGCCCCTACCCAAAATAACTAAACATTTGTCCAATATACATTTTAGATCTTACTTCTGAAATATCACCAAGTGACAGCTATAGAGATTTGCATTCAGACTTTCACATAATGTTTCATTTTCCTTTTCATACTATAAAACCATGACATATGAAATGGTTCCTTCCCCTGCAGATGGAAATCCTCAACAAACTGAATGAAGACATTTAAATGATGTATATAATCCTTGTTACGTGTATGAGGAATAATTACTGTATCTCTGTTTGCCTTTCTCTGTCTGCAAGGAACTAAAAGTCTGCTAGCAAAGTTACAGCTTATGTTCTTAGAAGCTCCTCTAGTATTAACAGCAAAATTTTTTTCATCTACAGTTTGAAGACATTCTTTAACACAAATGAACATCAACCTGATTTTGGAACACAATTAAAAATAAAATTGCATCTGAAATTAACACTGCTTTACATTTATAAGCTTCTGGACAGCTTTTGAAACTTTGCCCTGCTGTTATAATTTCATAGTTTCCTGAACAATATTCATAAAATGCTCAATGCTGGAATTGTTTTCACATGCTATTTCTATTGCCAATCATACAAATTGATGTTAATTACCACAGAGAAAACACTAGCACTCACAGACTGATTGTACCTAAGAGCTATAACCTTGCCTTAGGAGAGGGAGAACGACAATTTTTTTTTAAAAATGGAAAAACTCGATACAATAAATTCTCAATATTCGATACTTACATCATCCACTGGCAAAGGCAGATCAGGTTTATCCCTGTAAAAATAATTAAATATAATTATTAATAAAATTTCTCAATATATATATAAAATTTATTTCCTAATCAATATTGATTAATTGATTATATTATCTCCTAAGTTTAATTAAGTAGAATTATTTTAAAAGAGCGAATCCATACTGGTAAGTTATATTTTGAAAGATGTTTTGAAGTAACTTGAAAGCAAAATGTTAATAATGTTTTAACGGGGACTGGAATTAAATCATCATGAAGAACAAAATTTCAATTGTAAAAGGAAAAATTAAAAACATGTAATCATTGTCATTGATCGGAAATTAGTTGACTTTTCAAGGGGAACAAATCAACTCCCGTTCAATGAACAATAATTAATCAAAATGCGTAAATACGAAGGTGTTTCGTCTTTACTCGAGTTAAAAGGTAAAGCAAAACCGGCAATTCTAGTCAGGCCAAACATTTCCGCGAATAGAAGGGATTACAAACCAATGCTGATACTCAAAGAACTTGTTCTTAAGTATAAATGTAAAAAATATACGTAGGTAGAAACCATTTTCCAGACTCTTAATATCAAATCTGCATCATAACTTTTTTTCATATGAAAAATATAATATGACAAAATCTGATATATAATATAATGCATTAACAAGCTATTTAATCATAACACTTAATGAATACGAAATCATTACTAGAGCAAAAATTTGTTCTCTCCAAGAAATAAATATTCATAAAATTCAAGAAATAAATATTCATTCAATAATATTTATTCCAGGCCCTATTTTCTTTGGTGATAGTTTTTACTATTATTTTCTTAACATTTTGTGAGACATGGAAGCTGAGAATGCAGAACTTAGTATTCCCATCTGATGGCCCATGAAAAGAGCCAGCAACATTGCGGAAGTATCGCTGATGAGAAAGAAAATTTGTTGAAAGGCAGAAAGGGGCTGCCTGTTTTCCACTCTCAGACAAAAAGTCGAAAAAGGAAATACTCGATAGGACTGGTTTAGATGGTTCCAAATGTGAAATGATTCGAAAAACTGCTTTAGAATTTTATATTAAATAAAATTGCATTAGGCAGCCCTTGAAGGTAGGGGATTGGCACCGGCCGCAGTACATTATCCAAGAATCGTTGGGCCATCATAGTGCCCTGAATACGAACTAAAGGTGACCTGGAATTGTAGGCAATAGCGCCCCAAACCATTATGCCACGTATTCACGCAATGGGGGCGTTTTACAGTTGCTGCCGTATTAGATCTGTCTCCACGTCAACGCCACATGCGGCGACTGTCAACGGATAAACAGAAGTGTGACTCATCTGAGAACATGACGTTTCGCCGTTCTGTCATCCACGTCGCTCCAGTCCAGTACCATTCTAAACATTGGCGTCTATGCTGTGGGGCCAATGGCAGTCTTCTTAACGGACACCGTGAACGCAAGCCACGTTCAACCAATCGACAGGAAATGGTTTTGATTGACACAGGAACAACATCCAGGGTATCTTGCACATGCTGCAGAATCGTGGTACAAGTGACTTGCGGGGCCGCTTGTTGGCAGATGCGTTGATCCACATGTGCTGACCTTACTCTGGCTGCACCTGCATCCCTCCTCCTTCCCACATTTCCTTGTTCCAACCATGTTTGCCATAGCCGATGCATCGTGCTCGCATCCATGTGGGTATCAGCTGCGATTTGACGTAAGGACCAACCCGCACTTCGCAGTCTGATCACCATACCCCTCGTAAAATTGTCTATCTGCTGGAAGTGCCTTCGTTGACGGCGGACAGGCATTCTCTCCTATTACACGTATCCTCCGGGACAAAAACCCACTTTCTTCAATAATTCGTCTGGCAGAAATAACGACACGAATATTGCCCATTTTGCACGCTCCTCCCCTTATATCTTACTTCATGTGCGTCGGAGAGCTGCATATTTCACATCATTCGCATAACTCGGTGACGTGCGTCTACTCTACATTTTGCATATATTTCCGACCACTCCTTCTTGGTGTTGCATTTTCAATGTCGAGCAGTGTAAATATTATGCTCATATATATTTTTTTAAAAACTTTTCTTGGAAACTTTGAATAAATTGCTTCATGCTATAATTATTTTACAATACAATAATTCCATAAAAATTCATTTCCAGCATTACTGTTTTACATCCAGTTTTCCCATAATCGACATGCACATGAGCAATCCACTCTCTAATCACCTGGCTTTGCGAGTAGGGCAAAAAATGAGAATTTCTGAAGAGCACACATGGCAGATATTGCTGCTAATTTGTTCTTGCATGTTTTAGCAAAACCCCTTCAAATTATCAGAAGCTTCAGTTTCTTCTCATGCAAGTTTTCCTTTATCCTGCGACTTGTAAGATGGAGTCTTAGTTTTCTAAAAAGATAGGCTCAGTAATATTCATTTGCTATTTCTAACTTATATTGAGTCATACACAATTTTTTCCCAAAACGTAAAGTTAAATTCTTATCTGCAGGTTAAGGTTTTGTTATTTTCCATCCAAAATATTTACTTTTGGATGGCAAGTATTGATAGATTTCTATAAACTACTTAATTGAAAGGGGAGAACACTTTATTCTTTTGTAAAATGTATTCTATAAACTGCTTTATTGAGAGGGGGAAAAGCAGTGTAATTTGCAGTTATTTTGTAAAATGGATTTAGATACAGGAATAAAAATATTTAATTATAAGGAATAAAAAACATAATAATAAAATTTCTGTATTCAAGTATAGCCTTCATTTCTCACAGTGCTACTGTCAAAAATAATTCTCTTCAAGTAAGTCTGACTGATGAAAAGAGAAAAACAGAAAAATGTATCTCTTAGACTTCTCTGAATTGTTGTATTATATCACATAATTTCATAAAAATACTTGGTTATATCAACATAATGAATTTCTCATTGTACAATTTCACATTGAATAAACTTAATGATAAGACCACAAAAACAAAGTATCAGAAATAAGTATATCTTACCAGCTTTTTTTGTTTCCCGCAGCAACCGGAACTCGAGCCACAATAACAGAAGTGTTTTTAGGAACTAACATTTCATCATTGTCATAAACTAATAAAAAAAGGTAGAAATTGCAGTTAAAAAATTAAGCACACGATTTTTTTAAAATAAGTCTATTAATTTAAGTAAGAAACAAATTTTAATACAATTTATAAAGCATAAAAATTATTCTTTTAAGTTTAAATATATTTAGAACATACAGTAATGCACACAACAGATAAAGAAGCCTAAAAAGAAATTCTGCACTTCATATCTGAATTCATTATGTGAAGAAAAGTAATCAAATCAAGATCTATACGACAGCGGTCATTACTTAACGTGATCACTTCAATGATGTTATTGAATTATTGAAGTCCCACATCAAGAATTTGCCATTTTATTACAATCAATAAAAATATTATCAACAACAAAAATATTAAATATTAATACATAAAAATATTATCAATGGACATTTTTTCAAGAAGAAATATAAGATGATGAAGAAGGAAAAATACGATCTTCGATGATGACTTCAAGTAGTACTACTATACAAACATTAAAGATATCTTTAATGTTAATAACGAACAAAAATTTTAAAGTTTAATTTTTCTTTCATGTACAGAAAATATCAAAATTACCAAAGGAAACAAACAGTTTAAATGATTTGATTTGAATCCCATAAAACAACTTATCAAGCTGTATACGCTTTAAATTTAGCCCATAAACTATAATTAGAAGCTCTGGTATTATTATTAGACTCTTATTATTACTATTATATATTATACTATTAGACAAAAAAAATTTTGAGCTGAGCAGGAAGACTATAGGCGACATTTTTCCAGCTGAAAATCAGACTGGATTCAGAATGATAAAAGAATTAACTACACATGGGACACACACTACATGCCATAAGTATATATAGAAAATACTGAAGTGATTTTGTGATTGAATTTTTTTAAACTTCTATTGTATTCTGCATTTTCTCTCCAAATTTCAAATTTATAGTTAATTTTATCAGTAAGTATATCACATCTCATGATGCGCTATACATTCTTGATATTATGCTTTACAAGTTTCACTCGCGTGAAAATGACACAAAGCTGCAACCAGTGAATTAAAGAAAGGATTAAGAAAGTTAAAGATGTGTTTTAAAGTATAAATTTTAATCATCTGGTTCAGCCCAAACGTAAGAGATTGAGAAAGGTGAAAAATGATAATGATGCTGATAATATTAAACCTATGTATTAGCAATCAAGAATAAGAAGAGAGAGAGAGAGGAAAAAAAAAAAAAAAAAAAAAAAAAAAAAAAAAAAAAAAAAAAAAAAGCTTCAGAGCGCATAGATTAATTGAAATGAAAGGTTTCTCATGCAAACATTTTGACTGCATGAGAACATTCAGCTGGAAATCATGAGCAAGGATTATCCATGGATTTGCACTTTTGTTCAAAAGAAATGAGTAGAGCCTTTCATGAGGTGCTTGCGACTGGAGAAAAACATAGTGGATTAGCTCAAAAGAGAAAGCAGGCTTTGCTCAGAATGGCGTGGGGTATAGAAAGCATGGTTTAACTTGACTGTTAGAAAATAAACCATTAATGCAGACATTTACTGTTTCGAATAGTTTGAAATTGTCTTTAACAATCAAGGGACTAGCATTAATCAACAGAATTGATGTGATTTCTTAGCAAATTAATGCTAAACCACATAATGCAAGAGTGACTACAAAGTGGAAAAATCTTACTGATCTGCCTAAGTAATATTAAGTCAGATATTGTTCCCTCCACTTTTTACAGTTCAGGTTGCTATAGCATTCCTGCTTGCAAGGACATTAACACAGTACATAATTCCTCAAAAAGACATCTGAAAAACTGCCTAAAAGATACACAAAAATCGTAGTAAATGCACAATAATTTAAGTGACAATATCGTTTTTCCTCATTTGAAACTGTCCATCTCAATCCCATGGTTTTAAAACTAATAATTTCATTAGTTTTAGATTATAATTTCTGCTTTTCTTATAATTACAATAGAATTGATAAAAACATGTTTCTTCTATCAACGATTAATAATAAAAAAAAAAAAAGCTGTATTTTGTACATGTGAAGTGAATTACATGTACAAAATACAGGATACTTTACATGTACAATACTACTATTTTACATGTTCTAGTCTGTTTCTAAATAAGTCCTGTTTGGAAGGGGAAACTTTTATTTGGAATATGACTCATGTTCAATGAGTTTGACTGTGCTTACTATCCTTGCTTAGAGACAATGCTGTAACTAATTTTGCACAAAAGCACTACAGTAAATGTACAGCAGCCTCTGATGGTAAATCAGAAGCAAACCTCTTTGGACAGATTTTTAGTAAGGGTCAAATTTGCTGACCCTAAACCAGGTCCAAGCACAGACTTGATAGAAGATAAGAGATAAACAAATATAGCAGCAAATTTTCATTTATATGTACACTACATATTTCACTTCATTTGTATTTGAGCATTAAATAATGTTATAATAATAACAGGATTTTTTTTTAAAGAATGATAACTTATTGTCCCTTTACTTATCATTGGAAAAGTTCATTTGGTGTAAATCCACATATCTGGAAGAATAATGATATATACCAAGGTACCATTATATTAGTGACATGTGCTACCTTTGTAAATCCAGAACCAATCAGGAATGTACCAGAACTTATAAAAAATTAATAAATACATAAATTTTACTTAGCATTAAAATATAATCATTTTGATTCAAAATTTTCCTTATATTGGAAATATTAAAATTCTGCTATTTCTAAATTTTTACTTTGAAATTATAAAAACTTACATAAATTTTACATTAAATGAATATATTTAATAAATTTTTCTATTAAAATAAAAACTTTTGTTTTTCATTTCAAAAATTTTTCTCTACCAATATCAGTAAGAAAAAAATATGTACAAAGAGAAAAATTACCATTAGAGCTATTTATCGCATAAAAGCAATAACTTAAGATTCCCAGTTTTAGTTGCTTGTGGAAAATATTGTATTACACATACCAGTTTAAGCACTTGCAAGACCAAAGCATATTAATGCATAATAGAAGCTCATTTTCTATACAATTTTATACATAACAAATAACGTATCTGTTCATTTTACAAATGTTTTCCCTTAAAATATTACTCTTCCCCAAAACTTCACCTGTAACAGGATTTCTTGAAAAAAAAATTCCATTAAAAGCACATTTTAACATATAAAATTAATACTTAGATTATAGCTGTACTTAAGGATAAACAGATACTTCATAGAGGTAAATAATAACAAATGCTTCTCTCTTAATTTTCATGAGACAACTATGGTGTTTAGTTAGGACATTCAAATTATTACAACAGAATTAGATAATTCGTACAGTGAATCTATGATTTGTCTTGTAAAGAGAATTAAAAAAAATGACTGATGTGGTCAAATACTGATTAATTTCATTCAAAAGTTTGTTCAAAGAAAATGCAGAAGTATTTTTAATTCTGCCATTAAATTATAAAGCAAAATAAATGCCACAATTAAGCATAAGAAACAAAACTGAAGACAATTGCTTAATTCTGATAATGTACAACTGCTAAAGAATAAACAGATGACATCCACTTTAATAATAATTTTAAATTTTATATTATCACGGACAAACATCTGAAAGTAGAGTCAGGAATATAATTAAAAAGGAAAATTCATCTACTATTTTTAAAAAGCAGGAAAATAATATTCATAAGGGCCTTATCACACCTACTGTCAGAAATAAACGCTGAGAAAATATTAATAGAACAGCACAGCAGAATGTGCGATAAAAAATGTGATGTACATCGCAAAACAAACGATTCTGTTGCAGAATAACTGAGGAAATAAATAAGGGCATGATCAAACAATTTGTAAAACAGATGTTCATGTACTCTAACCTCTACTGGGCCACAGAGCAACCTAGCACAGCTAATCTGACACCTACTATTTAAACCAAATTTCTATCACCTAAGTAATAATTATGACATAATAGTTAACATTGATACAATGCTTGTTTTAGATATATGTTAAATACGAACAATGTATTTCTACAAGCCAGTATTTGCCTGTTAGTTTGAACAGTGACACCTACCAGCTAATAAATTGTCTTCATGCTATATGAATTTACCAAACTTAAACCCTCATACCCATGCAGTGATAAGAATAGCATAAGTAGTAGTAAGATATATATACACTCAAAAGTCGTTAATTCGGACACCCATAATCCGGAATGATCTATAATCCAGACCTCAAAGCTAAAAACTTTCTGCGCATGTGCCGCGTTGACACATGCGCATAGGCGTTTACGCGTGCGCGTAAGACCGTTACGACTGTGCATATGCGTGTGCGCAGAATACGTTTTCGCGTGCGCGTTTCATGTATGACGGACGGTATAAGCTAAAATTATCTAATTATCCATTTCAGTTAATGTTGATGATTGCGTTGTTCCTTAATCTTCAAACTGGATCCGGCTTATTATTTTTTAGAGTGTAAGAGCAATTTTATAAAAGTAAATTTGAACTTTCGATTATGTCAAATAGAATTTCCGATGCTGGAGCTCCCAAAGGATCTACAAAACGAAAGTATGTTTGTCCATCAAACAAAAAGTGGAATTGCTGCAAAAAATGGATAAAGACATGAAGAAGGTGACAGAGAGGTTAGTGAAAACGAAAAATTTCGATTGACAAGTTAGTCGGTATTCTCGGCACAGCAATTACGGGACTTGAACAGCGGAACTTTGTAATTGAACAAGAAATTATGTCTGTTTATAGAATTAAAGAGAAAATATTATCACATAAAACAAAGCAACTTAAACAACTTACATTAAAAGAAATGTTTAATAAAGTAAACAAATACATATTAAGCTCTTTTTTTTTTTGTAAATTTTGATACCCTTTAGATCATAATTATTCTTTATTTCATAAATTACGGTTTCATATTTTTAATTTTAGAATTTCTGCATGCGATCTTGCAAGATTTAAACTGATGATCTATAATCCGGAAAAATCGATAATCCGGATTAACGACTTTTAACTGTATTAAAAACTACCAATTACAAGTAT